TGATCGGCAGTCAGAGTTGGCAGTCGGGTCGGCCTGCAGAGTCGGTAGTCTGATACGGGCTTTACGATTACGACTAAAATTTTTGTACGTGTGATGGCCTTCAAGCAGCGGAGCAGCAACCAATCAGTAAGGCGATATTACAGTGGCGTAAACAATGGGCGAGTTCAAGACGGCAAAGCGGCTAGGCGTGCTTACCGAGCGATTGAATATGATTGGTTGGATCTATAAGTAACAACCAATTATGTTCATTTGCTTGGCGAGCAGGTTAGCCGCTTTGTCAACTTGAACGCGCCCAATGACTACGTTTACGCCGTGCATTTAGGCCGCGGCCTATACAATAGATGTCCTTGTTCATCCTGTAGGTTAAACAGACACCTATCGTATAGGTCGCGGACTAAGCGCACGGTGTAAACGTAGCCAATATTAGCTGCGTTCAGCAGACTCAACAGTTTTGCAACCGTTTTATGATTGTCTGCTGAGATAGGACCATTCTTCTAGATCTAAAAGTATGATCCAATTAGCGCGAAGGAAACTTACAACAGTTGCAAAACAAACGTTCTGCTGAACGCACCCATTGCCTTGCTGGTTGGTTGCTTCTCCGCTGATTGACGCTTACTGCGTCCAGTGCAGTCCAGTGTGAATTAGGCATTAGAGTCGTAGGCTACGGTCCACTTGATGCTGCGAATTCTTCGAAGCATTTTTTGATTGATCAGTTAGTAAAATTCTTTCTTCCGATTGGTCAATCAAAAGTTTCGAAGCATTTGTAATATCAAGTGAACCGCACCCGATTTTGTTCATATTGACACGTTTCCTAACCTAACAATCAACTTTAACAAAAACAAAGCCACCATTCGGTGGCACAATATCAGTTCTGATGAACCACTCGCTCGTGGCGGACGCGTCTCGACTCGGGTGCTACAGTTATTGTATATTTTTGAAAGTGTTGCCGACTTTGACCAAGCATTGAAACATACAGGCTGCGGTCCACTTGCTTCTTTCAAATGCTCTGAACGCTACGCTCCAAACGCTACGCTCCGATTGGTCCATTACTGTCCCGAATGCTACAATTGTTACGTGAACGCTCCAGCCAACCCACCTCCCGAGGTGAGGTAGTGGGAGCGAAAACGATGACGTATTGATGACGTATCAGGGTTGCTGGGAGCGATTCGAAGCGTCAAATGGACCAGACCAGTCATGTTAGTGTTACAAATGCTCTGTAGCGTTTGAAGTGCTAAGTGGACCGGAGCCATAATCATCCCGCGGTCTTCGACGACCCGTTCGGTCTTCCTGACGCGTGTCCTTGCGACGTGACGACGCCGTAGACGCAGGTGCCCGGTGTTCGAGCGGACTTAGCCATTTTCGCGGGTGTTGCATAATTTTTTTATAATACACGGAAAACAATCCTAAACGTCATCTGGCTGTATCGACCTCCTATTGTTATTTGGAGGCGTGAGCCATTAATTAAAGAAGAAGAAGAAGGTGGCATAATATACCAAGATCCTCAACTTTTAACTATTAATATCTTGTTTCGTGGAGCAATTACAGTGTATAATTTTCAATTGTCAGATTCGTTTGTTTCACAAAAAATGCGTCGATTGGTATTATGTATTTTTATCAATGTCTGTGATTGATAACAAGCATGAATTGATACGAATAGCACAATTTCTCTTCTCTTAATAACAGAACACAAGCTTAATTTTTTATACTTGAATTAATGTGTATACTTTTTGTATTTTAAGAAATAGGTATATATTTGAAATTTGTGGCAGAAGCAAAAAAAAAATGTGGCAATTTAGAATACGCATTTACATTTTATTAAATTATATCAAATTGCAGTCTTAAAATTATTTGCGATCTGGTTGAAACATTGTAATTTAAAAAAATTATTTATATCGTAAACAGCAATATGCAAGGGATAGTAATTTGACATATCTGATTAATGCAGACTGTCAATCTTACAATAGCCATAATAGTTTGACTATTACAGTAGCATAATTATTCGGCATTTAGCCGAGATTAATTACCCTAAAAGTTATACAAACCTCAAGATGCAATTAGAAAGGGGACTGGCATCAAAGTATGCATACGTTACATGTGTGATTATAGCCTATTGGTAAGTCTCAAAATGATATAAAGTTGTTTACATATTGTTTTATCAATTATTAAATATATTTATGCAAACGTCTCTTAAGATATACAAAGAACATAATAACTATATAATTATCTTTAAAATTCAAAATTATAAACAATTTCTCAGTTAAAGATATTCCTTTAAATGTATTTTCAAATTATTTTCAGGATAGTATCAATTTTTACTGTATTCATGAATAAAGCACTCCTATCCAGTGATGCTGTGAATCTGAATGCTCCTTTATTTGTAACTTGGTTTCAGTGTATAGTGAGTGTAGCTATCTTTTTTATTTTACGCATATTATCCCAATGGTTTCCAGGCTGCATTGAAATTACAGATGGTAGTCCGTTTAAAAAGGATACTTTGAAAAAGGTATACACACAACTTGTTTTAAGAATTGTACAATAGTAATGTTAAGCCTGAGACACAATTGAAAAGCACAGGAAATAGGAACTGAGAATAACAGATTTCAACTATCAGAAACCATATATACCACTTTCATACATGATTTCTGACAAAGTTGAGATCTGTTATTCCCTGTTCCTATTTCCTGTGCTTTTTAATTGCGTCTTGGGCTTTACTTTCATTACAAATAAAACTAGAAATGGATTATTTAATTTTGAAGGAAATCTTTGTATATATTATATATAAAGATTTTTTTTACACTTCAAATTGAGAAACATTTAATAAATTCAACAAAAAAATGTAAACTCTGAATTAGAATATTTGAAAGATTGTAGCTTTAAATCTTGTAATTTCTTAATAGTTTTTATATTTATATGAAATTATATAAAATATTTATATATATTTAAAATTTTTACAGGTATTGCCGTTATCAATTTGGTTTGCTGCAATGATAGCAACTAATAACTTATGCTTAAAATATGTTGGTGTTGCATTTTACTACGTGGGTCGTTCGCTAACGACGGTATTTAATGTCGTATTTACTTATACTTTACTCGGTGAGAATCCTACACATACCGGCTAAACTTGATGCTAAAGAATATAAATTAATGGAATAACTAATTGGCGAAAGTTACATTGCAGGACAAACAACATCTTCCAAATGCATAGCATGCTGCACAATAATTATTTTTGGGTTCTGGTTAGGGGTAGATCAAGAGCATGTAGCAGGTTCTCTATCTATTCTCGGGACATTTTTCGGCGTGCTTGGATCGTTGTCGTTATCCTTGTATTCTATCCGTACGAAACAGACGCTCCCGATCGTAAATGAAGATATCTGGCTACTTTCATATTATAATAATTTGTATAGTATTATTATCTTCATCCCGTTAATGATAATTAGCGGGGAACATATCACTGTATATAATTACGAGAAGCTTGGATATCCTTTTTTCTGGATTGGTATGACAATCGGTGGTATATTCGGCTTTGCCATTGGATATTTCACTGCCCTTCAGATAAAAGTCACGTCTCCTTTAACACATAATGTAAGCGGTACCGCAAAAGCATGCGCTCAAACGATTTTAGCGACTTATTGGTTTAATGAAAAGAAACCGTTTCTCTGGTGGATAAGTAATATCGTTGTCCTTAGTGCCAGTGCGTTTTATGCGAAGATTAGGCAACTAGAATCGAATACAGAGTACAGCAGAATCGAGACACGGCAATTTAAAGTGTAACAACGGTAATTAGATATAACAATTTTATTCAAATTTTTATATTTAAAGTGTTATTGTATGCAAACGTGTATAGGTTTTTTTTTTAATATTTTAAGAAAATTTAGAGCAATGTATGGAAGAGAGTTATTCTTTACATATACATGCAAATTGATGCAAAAGTTCATTCAACGATTTTACAATATATATATATATATATATGTGTATGTATGTATGTACAAATATCTCTGCGTGTATATCAATATATGTAAAAGTATTATAATGTTAAGGATGTTAAGTGTATGATATTGTATACAGTCCAACAAATTTTCTACATACTGTATAAAAAAACTTCCATTGAGCGTTCACAAACGTTCATAAATACATGTATCTGACATTATTTCCTAATATCACAGCATTATATGATCTCCAAAATTCTCAGACATTGATTTCTTTTTATTTTTTTTTATACTTGGAACAAGGCGTATTTGACTTAAAATCGTGATGCAATTCCATTTCCACGACTATCCGAGTGGCTCGATAGCGAATCTTTCCTTTTAACAATTGCATTCACACTTTTTATCGACGAGATATCGTCATGAGATAATGACGATATTATGGAATCTAGTTGAGCTTGCAATGCAGCCTCCATCGAATGTCTTTGATTATTTTCAATTACCATACCGTCGACGGCAAAATAGTACCTATAAAAATGAATGAATTGATTGTCAATATATCTTGTGCTTCAAATCTATTTATTTAAGATTAAATTTGTTATGTACCTGGGATATTCTATCGCAGCAGAAACATTTAGCGCGCGTACGATAAGATTGTAGAGAATTTGACCGTTAAGAAAAACATCGTTTGAACCCAATACTCCACGTAACCCGCATAACTTTTCGTTATGATGAAAAATAATAGGGATAAACGTGGACAAGTCATCGTTATCAATATTGTCTAAGAAAAAAGGAATTCCATCCATTCTGTTTCCACGACCGAAAGGTGAACTTAGACCACTGTATCATTTATAATACATTAATAATTGTAGTGACAGTCATTATCTAATAGATGTATAAGTATAATTGATTCCTGTTACTAACGTTAAGATGCTAACGTAAGTGTCTTGCCAATCCATTGCCATAACTCCGGTGTATGTTTCTCTTTTTACTTCTAAAATTATGATGAAATCAATAGTTAATTATGTACAGACCTGATCAAAGTTAACAACAGGGTTGTGCGGTTACACGTAAAACATAATAATCTACATCTATATGTATGCAATGTAAATACTATGTAAATTATGTTTCATGTGAACAATCTGTAGATCCATGTTCTTTGTCGTTGCACTGGACTGTATTAAAACTTTATCTCGCTCTTATATATTTATTTATTTATCAATATATTAAATTATTATTCACATATATTAATTTAAAAACCTAATAATATTCCTATAAAAAAACTTAATTCCTTTTTTCTGTATTGTAGTATTCAATTTATAATAATTTACACATTTTACATTGCTTATTTTTACATGACAAAATTGTAAACTTAATCAATAAATAAAACAAGGGCAAACGAGCCAACTACAATATAAGATCTTTAATAAACGTATATATATACAAAAATCAATATTGTAGTTGGCTCGTTTGCCCTTGTTTTATTTATTGATTTATTCTATTTGAGCCATATTAACATTTAATTATTGTAAACTTAATATATAAATATTCCATGTAAACGTAAGCTTAAAATATATAGCATAACTCCAGTTAAGAAAAATGGTATGTGTCTTACCATATTGCAAAGATTGAGAAGATTGCAAAGATACGCTCATCAATGTTTGAGCAATGAGAGCTTGAGATTCTATAGTAGACGCATTTTCTGCCAAAATTGGAAGGTTTTCCAATGCCTCGATCACTTCTTTCATAAAAGACGCATGTGACGGATAATAAATTGTATGACGGTGCAATGTCGATCTTTCTGCCATTGTTACAATAGGTTCATAACTTGCCAACTGTTGCAGCAGTTTGTCACTGAGAGTAGTATTTTGTAGAATTTTATAATTCTCAGTACCGTTGTATAACGCTAGAAGAAAATGCCAAATATTAATAATTATATAGAAATATAATATTAATGATTATATAGAAAATAGTTCGACAAAATTAAGACAAGGCTGTATAAAAGTTTATCAACAACTGACAAAGTTGCAAACACAGCAAAACAGATTATACCCTTTGCACCATTACGTGCTACAATGTCCAACATCTTTGTAAGTTCCTGAAATTGCAATCTATCGCCTGGATTTAAAGGGCCAGTGGAAAATATTTCATAATCTGTATTCTTCGACACTTCATCTGCAAGATCTTTAGATATAACAAATCCTTCTCGAGCTAGCTCGATGATAGGTTCTACAACATTGCGCCATGGCAAATTGCCATATGCTCTTTGAGCAAACTCTAATCCTTTTAATACAGCTGGCAAACGTATTCCAGCTTCGGCAAAGAAACCTATTGCATTAAGTAATATATGACTTTCTTATTCTATATACATATTAAATCAATGAACAAAATTGTATTTACCTGTGGTTGTATTACTGGCAAAATCAATGACAATTGGATGAGTGTAATTCTTGTAATTATATATCATTATATATCCACCTCTGAAAACAAAATTAAAATTAAAAAGAATGATTTTAATTATCAGTTAGTTAATCAGTTAGTTAATGTCTTACCCGCCAAAACCAGTTTTATGAGGCGCTACTACAGCCATGCAAATACTAGCTGCTACTGCAGCATCGACCGCATTGCCTAATCTTGTTAATATCTTTGTACCAATTCGAGAACAATTGGAATAATCTGTGGCGACTGCTCCATGAATGCTATGAAGGCTACTCTAAAACGAGATGAGAGTTCAAATGTTGTTAAAATATTTTATTACTGCTTGTTGTCTTTTTTTATTTTTAATATTTACCTGTGGTATACTTTCTGTGTAAAGAATTTGCAACATCAACATAGTAGTAATGGCAAAAGTTAATGCGACAAAGCAGACGACGATGACTCTCAACCCATTGCCACATAGTCTGTATTTGTAATTTCTCTCCTTTGTTAAAGGGCATTCTTCCGTAAGACCTGCAAATATATCAAACTAATATTCTTCCTTGTCATATATATGTATGTATGTATATATATATATATGACGAGTATAAAATGTTATTTTAAAAATTATTAAATTTAGGATGATCAATTAAATACTAATTAAATTAATAATATTTGCACTATTTTGTTTAAATGGATAGAATAATTTCTTATTATTTGATACATGAAATAAATTAAGAATCACAAATCATAACTGTAAGATTAAAAAATTGATAACTACAAATCATAAAGTTAGAAATTTTTTAACAAATAATTATATCGATTGAATTAATCATTGATCAAGCAGTGCAAATGTAAGCAATGAGAAATATTTAGGCCAATGCAAAACGGATGACGTTTACACTTACGTGTATTATAACTCATTTTCCACCGTTTGTTGTTTTGTAATAACCTTGTACGATATCACAATAATTAATTTAAGTTTTCTTGTGAAAAAATATTGAGAAAATTGCAATATTAATAATAAAAATTAATACACCAAACACATACAGAAACCAACAGAAACAAACTAATGGCGAATTTGATTGGAAGAACTAGTGCGCACTGGTGCATATTAAAGCCGTTGTACACTAATTTAATTTAAGTATAAAAATGAAATGCAAATATTTCGAATTATGAAATACATATTTTACCTAATAATACAATAAAATGTATTAAATATTTTACGATTTAATCGATCTCTATGTTTATTTATAAACATATTTTTACGTTATTTCGTGTACGACGGCTTTAATGTGCACCAGTGCGCACCGAGTGCGTCCAATCGAATTCGCTATAAGAATACTGACGGGGAAAGAAAACTGGGTCTTCCGTCCTTTTTTCGAAAGTTTGATATATTCTATATCCGCCATCTATGTAAATTCGAGGAACTAAATAATAACATGGCGACGTGGAGCGGGCTTTACAAAAGTTTATTATTTCACAAGACGTAAACCATGTGCAAAACTTTATGTGGCTGAAGGCGGTATTCCTAGTCTGTTTTTACTTTAAGACCGTCTTAAGTAATATCTTTAAATGCTATTGGACAGTATTCATAGTCCATTCTTATTTGAAGACTGTCTTAAGCAATGCTTAAGACGCTAATATAATCTTCTGATTGATTTGTGACATCTTAAACAGTTTTAAATATAAAGTCCAATGAATATCAGCTTGAGAACATTTCCTTGAACTTTTCTTTATGAATCCATATTAAAAATACATCCTAGAAAATCGGTAGAATCGTCCTCCCAACAATTAATATATTTTTCTTTAGATTGTATGTGCGATGTACTAAAATTACACCTAGTCAATTCCGTTGAATTAGATGCGTTTGGTTTTATGTTGTAATAATTCTCTAGAAACTCCAGGACAGATGATTTATTTTGTAAACTATTAAATAACACTCGATCTTTCCTCGGCAAGATCTTTTCCAACATAAATACCAGATGATGATGAAAACATTGAAATTCAGTCGATATGGTCGACGTAATGTCCAACCAATCTTGAACGCAAACGAGTGGAGTGACAGAGTATCCCGCAAATAACGCCGGGTTAGTTAAAATACCCTTAGCAGACATTACTCCCTCACATCTAGATTCTTTGAATAAAAATTCTGCACTTTCTAAGCTTTTCACATCACCATTTGCTACGAGGGGCAACTGTATATAATCTCTGAGAAGCTTAAGGTTATCCAAATCGATTGGTTCATTACGCATCTCAGGCGTCCTTGCGTGAATTGTTAAGAACGAGGCACCAGCCTTTTCCAAAGTTTGGCACAATGTTATCGTCTTACGTATATCTTTTAACAGTCGTATTTTTGTAGAAACAGTAAACGGTTTTGGAATACGATTTCTAACTTGATACACCAAATCCTTAACAAGCTCTGGTTTTTTCAATAAATCAGCCCCATAACCTTCTTGCATGGCCCAACGCTGTGGACAGCCACAGTTTAGATCTACACCATTGCAATATCTGTTAATTAGAAAAATACAAAAATATGTATAAGAAAGACAAGAACTATACTATCAAAATCACAGATGTATATA